TTAAGACTTTGGGAGATTGTTGGGAAGGCATGACTGGTATTGAAATGTGAGGACGTGAGATTTGGATGGGGCCAGGATGGAAAGATATGGTTTAGCTCTGTGTCCCTGCCCAAATCTCATCTTGAATTGTACTCCATAATTCCCACCTGTTGTGAGAGGAAGTCAGTGAGAGATAATTTGAATCATGGGGGCAGTTTCTCCCATACTGTTCTTGTGGTAGTAAATAAGTCTTATGAGATCTGATGGTTTTACTGGGGGTTTCTGCTTTTGCATCTTCCTCATTTTCTCTTGCTGCTGCCATGTAAGAAGTGCCTTTCACCTTCCGCATGATTCTCCCCAGCCATGTGGAACTGTAAGTACAATTAAACTTCTTTTTCTTCCCAGTCTTGGGTATGTCTTTATCAACAACATGAAAAAGGACTAATACAAACATGGTAAAAACAAAGTTAAAAGTAAGATTTGTAAAAAGTGTACCATAAAATACAAATCATAAGAAAACTAAGTTGGCTATAATACTCAGAAAAAGTAGACTTCAGAACAATAAATATTACTAAAGAAAAAAGAGACATTTTATAATGATAAAGAAGTCAACCCCTCAAGAAGACATAGCAATACTAAATGTCTATGCACCTAATACAGAAACTTGAAATATATGAAGCAAAACTGAAAGAATTAAAAGGGGAAATAAGACAAATCCAGTACTATATTCAGGATTTCAATTCTTCTCTCTCAGTGATTGATAGAACAGTGCTATTTGCTAACTTCTTATTGACTCAGCGAGAATTGTTATGTCTTCTTAACAAACAGTAATATAGAGAAGACACAAAAAACCCTATCAACCAGCTTGATCTAACTGACATTTATAGAACACTACACACATTGTCATGTTCAGAGGACACATTTATTTCAAGTAAATGGAACATTCATCAAGAAAAATCACATGATAGGGCATAAAACTAGTTTCAATAAATTTAAAGTATCACAATAATACAGATTATGTTTTTTAGTCACAACAAAAATAAATGAGGAATAACAAAAGATAGTTGGGACATCTGCTTTCAACAGTGATAAGTTGGGATTACATTCACCATCATGCCTGAAATCACAAAATGGATAAAATACATGAAACAATGATTTAGGGGCATTGGACATCAGGCAATGAAGAATAGAGAACCCTGAGAAACCTCAAACAAAGGAGGTGAATGAACTCTATTATTATCCTAACTTATTGCCTGGAGAGAGTCTTAAGGTTGTGTTACAAATACTGGAAAGCCAAGATGAGTCAGGAGATCACCCTGAGGAGAAAGAACTGGGAGTTCAGGGAGGCCACAGAGCTAGAGTTTGCAGAATAGAGTACCAGCAAGGATAGAACTGCACAAAGAGAGAACTCTGGACAATCCCTCTCAAATCATCAACTAAATACTTATCAGTATGTCTATGTAAATGAACTACCTAAGATCAAGAGGAAAAACATCCTAAAAGATTAGAAGTGGGGTGCGAGCAAGATGGCCGAATAGGAACAGCTCCAGCCTCCAGCTCCCAGTGCGAGTGACACAGAAGACAGGTGATTTCTGCATTTTCAACTGAGGTACCAGGTTCATCTCACTGGGGAGTGCCAGACAATCGTTGCTGGTCAGCTGGTGCAGCCCGACCAGCGAGAGCTGAAGCAGGGCGAGGTATCGCCTCACCTGGGAAGCACAAGGGGGAAGGGAATCCCTTTAGAAACTGAGACACACAACACCTGGAAAATCGGGTAACTCCCACCCTAATACTGCACTTTACCAAGGGTCTTAGCAAATGGCACACCAGGAGATTATATCCTACACCTGGCTGGCAGAGTCCCACCCCGACAGAGCCTCCCTTATTGCTAGCACAGCAGTCTGAGATCTAACTGCAAGGCAGCAGCGAGGCAGGGGGAGGGGCACCCACCATTGCTGAGACTTAAGTAGATAAACAAAGCCTCCAGGAAGCTCGAACTGGGTGGACCCCATGGCAGCTCAAGGGGGCCTGCCTGTCTCTGTAGACTCCACCTCAGGGAACAGGGCATAGAAAAAAAAAAAGCAGCACAAACCTCTGCAGATGTTAATGACCCTGTCTGATAGCTTTGAAGAGAGCAGTGGATCTCCCAGCACGTAGGTTGAGATCTGAGAACGGACAGTCTGCCTGCTCAAGTGGGTCCCTGACCCCTGAGTAGCCTAACTGGGGGACATCCCCCACTAGGTGCAAACTAACACCTCACACCTCACACGGTGGGGGTACACCCCTGAGATGAAGCTTCCAGAGCAAGAATCAGACAGTAGCACTCACTGTACAGCAATATTCTATCTAGTATAAAAGGAGAAAGCTCACACATCTCACACATCACACACAGCAATTATCTGTCCACCACAGCCAGTAAATGCTAGTCTATGAAGCATGTTAGTAGGCTCTTGCAAATATTTCATATGTGCCATCCTGTTGTTAGAAATTCAAGATGCAATTTAGGCATCAAAGAATATCCTTATATTTAGATGTCAGTCCAGCTTTCTGACCAGGATTCATCTACAAATTACACAGCCACCATGGTAGGGTGGCAAAACAGATTTTGTTGTGGTTGTTGATAGTTTAGGTCACCCTTAAAAAATCCACTGGCATTTAAAGTGCTAAACAGGTTTCTGTAAAAACTTCTATAGCACTCCTTCCACAGGAATGTTATATGGGAAAATACATTAGTATTTTCCCAGAAATTCTAAATAAAATCCAATCTTGGCAGATCGCAATCTTTATGCTGATGATCAAAATCATTCAAACACCAAAAAGGTAAATAGTACTTACCAAAAATTCTATACCGACTCTCTCCTTTGCTTAAAAAAAAACACACTTTCACAATTTCCTCACACCATGTAAGAGCAAACTTAACATAAGTCACTGAATGAAAGACATTAATTAAGACAAAGTTAGAAGTATCAGATAAAGAATTTTCATCTCACACAAAATATCATTTTATACTCTGTGCTATACTATTCAAATATCATATAGCATCCTACTTTCTATTCTTCTCACTGACTTCATGGGAGTCTTGAACTCATAATAGGGTGCAGGTATGAGACCTGGTGATGTCTGATCACCATGTACAAATTGTCAAGCACACAGACATCAATGACAGACAATGTAAGTCGAGCATCATCAACATTTCTACTCCTGTGGTCAGTGTTGCCAGTTATTGGGCTACAGTTTAGCATGAGGATCTCATCCAGAGAGATTTCCACTTTTCTTTATTCTAGGGCACCTCAATAGAATCACACCTCATCTCCATCACACAAGGTTCCAGGCGACAGTATCTGGTTCTTGCAAGGAAGAGGCATTCTGTGGGATGGGGAGAAGGCTAATGATCACTATTGACTGACACAGAAAAAAGAAAATTTTCCCACTTGCTTTTGCATTCCATTTACAAGGGAATTCTCTACCACAGCCTTGAAGATCACATATAGATAACAATAGGTCTGAGAGGGTCATCCATTGGCTTTTTGCTGTAGGGTCTTATCTAAAGCCAGACAGTGGAGGGCTGCCTTGGGATCCACCTTGGGTAGGAGAGGGGCTTAGAAACTAGGATCTAAGATAAGGTCCTTCCCGACAACCCAGAAACAGGCACTGGTTGGGCCAGGAATCACAGGCCACCTTGCCAAGGCAGTACACCCAGTTCACACCTTACTCCTCTTGAGCCTCTTCTGCTACTAGCTTCAATTTTGCATCCTTCCCTCCTAAGATCTATTTCGCAGACAAATACCAGAGGGCTGTGGCCAAATATAGCTTGGAACTGGGTAATTTTCTGAGCTTTGGTTGTAAATTTTAAAAATTTATTGTCACTATCTAAAAACGAGGCAATTCCAAATATCAGTAGAAATTTTGGGCTTCTCTTAGAAACGGGAAAGTCTGGCAACTGGAGTAGTCTTTCCACAATTGCAATGGACTGGAGCTGAGAAGGAGCTTCACCTTCCCTGAGTGGAAAAACCACAAATTGACCTTCCTCTGCTGTCACACCAACAACACAGAATTGTGTGACCAAATGTGTGGTATTTTTTTGTCCCCAGATAACAAACAAGCAAGAAAGCAATTCTGTGCAGACATCAGCTAGGTGTCCTCTAATTCAGTTCAATTCTGACACTGTCTACCTGGAAATAGTGTCAGATTCTACAGGTTGAAGGCTTAGTACCCAAGACTGTCCTCTCCCTTCAGACGCCAATTGCAAGCTCCAGGATGCTTTACATGTTCTTCTGACTGGGGTCCCCATGACTTCCTCCTCAGAGTCCATTAATTTGCTAAAGTGGCTCACAGAACTCAGGGGAATATTTAACTTATGTTGACCAGTTTATTATAAAGGATATTGCAAAGGATACCCAAGTACACCACATAGAAGATATGCATAGGACAAGGTATGGAGGAAGGAGCACAGAGACTCTATGCCTTCTTGGGTGCATCACCCTCCAGGAACCTCCATGTGTTCAATTACCTGGAAGTCCTCCAAACCCTGTTCTCTTGATCCTTTTATAGAGACTTCACTGGACAGCCATAATTGGCAACTGTGTAGAAATGTGACTGGACAAAAAGTGCATAATCTAATACTAATAGACTGAATGGACAAGCTCAGCAAGGCCTTTTCTGTTCAGATTCTTCATGGCCTCTCTGTGTAGCATTCCTTCCTTCAGATATGGAGCAGGACTCCTTCTGAAATGAGGGTTTTATGACCCACAATCAGACAAGATAAGTCAAAGAATTTCTTTATGACCAGCTCCTAGACAGAAAGGTAAGGGATAGAGTATATTTTTAGTTTGAAAAGTCTGCCTGGGGGGAGAAAAAGAAGTAGGTGAAAGGCAAGCAGGGGAAGGTCAGAGAAAGAGATTCTGTTTTCTGATGCCAACTTCTGAGGCCTAAAGCACCCCAACATTATAACAAGGGCTATGGGAGTTATGAGGCAGAAACCACAAATAAAAGCTAATGTATATAATCACAATATCATTCCTTCTAAGACAGGTCAAGTGCTCTCTGGACCTATCAGTGCCTGAGTTTGCAGCGTTGACTCCATAGTTTCCCACAACTTTCATAGCTTCTACAGCATGAATGTAGAAGACTCTGTAAGGAAGACAGTATTTTCAAAATGGGAAGCAGGGATCTCTGTGTCTTTGCAAACTGGCCCAGTACGAATCTCTGGTCTCCTATTCATCTTATCTACTCAAAATCTTTTTAAATCTTACCTTGCCTACTTGCTGAAGGAGTATATATAGATTTACTTTTTTGCTCCTCACTTAATTAAAGCTATTTGTTAAATTGCTACAGATAACTTTTCTGTCTTGTTAATTTCTCTCTTTTCCTGAAAATCCATCATACTGCCATATCTGAGATATCTGTGGTTGGCTTTCCCCATCTTAGTAATATGACAGTTTTTTTTCTCAGTGTCAGAACAAAGGGAAAAGCAGGCCCCAAGTCTTCCAAGTCAGATAATACTCTTGTTCCCATACTCCACTCTGCCCCTTCCCTGTGATCTGCCATAAAACATCAATATGGCTCAGCAGAATTAATGGGGGGCATGGTGCTACTCTTAATAAGGCACCAAATAATACTTAACTGCCATAAGAAAATTATTTATTTGAAGAGGTGAATGATAAAGCAACAAGGTTTAGAAGGCAAAGAATTAATTTGGGGATAGGACATAGATCTGGTTAAAACTTTGTCTCTGGTATTTTTTTATCAAAATGATTTTATTAAGTGAACTCCTGAGCATCAATTCACATATTTATGAGTGAAGAGTAAACACAAGAACATATGTAAAGCAACCAACACTGTGCTTGGAAGACAGTATGGACTCAGTGAGATTGGTTCCTTGGATTCCAAGCTGGTGGCATAGAAGCAAGCTGGCTTCATTTCCTACTACAGGAAGCCAAAAAATATATATACAGCACCGAGATTATAACTAATAATATCCCAGAACTCAACTGTGCATACTAATCAGTTCATGCCACAGAGAAATGAAAAAAGCTCCATGCAGATGGTAAGACAATCAGATTTTCATGTCTGCAACACCTCTCCCTGAAATCTGCCCAGCATCAAACACATAAAAACTTCCCCTGACTCATGGTTTCTACACTAGAAAAAGTGAAACTGAGGTTGACAACAAGCTTCTCTATCATCTTAAGTTCTCTGGTAGGAGGCCTGTCTCTGCCTCAACCCACAGGAAACATCATGAGTGCCTGAAGGAAGAAATATCCTTAAGGCAGCCAGAAACCATGGGAGAAGGTGGAACACCCACTCCCATCCCTGAAAACTGCTCTGTAACTCAGCCAAAAGAGACACTATATCAGAATGGCTGCTGAGCAGCACCATGTTAGAGCAGGTATGTTCCAAATTTCCTCTGAGCATGAAACTCAGTCAGCCTTCCCACACTGTTGGGATATCCCTCTTGAGACCTGCCTCACTCAGGACACACAGTGGTCCAATCATTTGTTAGAGCTGAGCAAACCTGAGCTTTCAATATCATCTAGTATCAAAAAGGAAGCAGTGACCTAGCAGGGAAAAAATTAAGAAATTCAAAAGGTAAATTACAAAGAATCACCAAGCATCTATATCTAATAAAAACAAAACAAGCTAGAGAGAGAAGACTGGAATAAATAATCTTTCAATGTGAACATATAGATGTACATCCACAAGAAAATCAATAATCAGGAAACCATGACCTCCTCAAATGGACAGAGCAATAAACCAGTGACTAACCCTAAGAAGATGGTGATATGTGAGCTCTCCGGTCAAGATTTCAAAACAGTAGTTTTAATGACATTCAGTGATCTCTGAAAAAAAACAGACAGAAGAGAAATTTAGAAAATCCTCACAGACATTTAACAAACAGATTGAAATAATAATTGAAAAAATCAGAATCTTGGAACTGAGAAATACATTTGCAAAATTGAAAAAATTCTGTAGAGGCTCTCAACAGCAAAAAGGATAAAGCAGAGGGAACAATCAGTGAATCACTGATCTCAAAAGTGATCTTAAAGGCAAGCTATTTGAAAATGCACAGTCGGAGGAGAAAAGAAAAGAATGAAAAGGAATGAAGATTACCTACAAGATATAGAAAGTTACCTCAAAAGGACAAATTTAAGGATTATTGGTGTTCAAGAGGGCATTGAGCAAGAGCAAGGGGCAGAAAGCTTATTTAAAGAAATAATAACAGAAAACTTTCCAAAACTTGAGAAAGATACAAATATTAAGACAGGAAAGTCAGAGAACACCAGATTTGACCCAAGTAAGACTACTCCAAGGCATATAATAATCAAACTCTCAAAAGTCAAGACAAAGGGAGAATGCTAAAAGCAGCAAGAGAAAATAACAAATAACATATAAAGGAATTCCAATTAGTGTGGCAATAGACTATTCAACAGAAACCATGCAGGATGGGAAAGAGTAGGACAATATTTTCAAAATGCTGAAAGAAAATAACTGTCATCCAAGAATATTACATCCAGCAAAGCTATCCTTCAAATATGAAGCAGAGATAAAGTTTTTCCCAGGTAAGTAAAAGCCAAAAGAATTCACCACCATCAGACTGTCTTACAGAAATGCTAAAGGGAGATTTTTAATCTGAAATAAAAAATAATAATGTACCAAAAAAAAAAAAAAACAAACTTAAGGTATAAAATTCATTGGTAAAATTAAGTACGAAGACAACTCAAAAAAACCCAGTACTGTAATTTCAATGTACAATCTGCTCATACTTCTGGTATAAAGCCCAAAAGAGAAATCTGTCAAAAATGAGGATAGCTAAAGCAACCTATTAAGAGATGGGCAACATTAAAACATGTCAACAAAGACAACAAAGTGTCAAAATGGGGAGGAGGGATGGAGTTAAAGTATAGGTTTTTTTTGTTTTTTTTTTTAAGTTTTTTCTTTCTTTGTTTCTATTATTCCCTTGTGATCTGAGATAAGTTGTCATTTTTAAAAATAACTTGCATTATCTAAAAGATGCTTTTTGTGTGCTTCATAGTAACCACAATGCAAAAATCTATCATAGATACACTAAGATAAAAAAGGAACAAATTAAAATGTACTACCAGAGAAAATAACCACAAAAGAAAGACAGTAAGAAAGGAAAAGAGGAGTTACAAAACAACGAGAAAACAAGAAACAAAATGGCAGTAGTAAGTCCTTATCAATAATAACATGGATATAAATGGATTCAACCCTCCAATTAAAAGACATAGAGTAGCTAAATTGATAAAGAAAGAAGACCAAACTACGTGCTGCCAAAAGAAATCCACTTCACCTATAAAGATACATATGTACTGAAAGTGAAGGGATGGAAAAAGATAAGCCAAAAAAGATCAAGAATAGCGATATTTATAACAGATCAAAGATACTACTAGTCAAAAACTATAAAAAGAGACAAAGAAGGTCAATATATAATGATAAAGGGGTCAATTCAGCAAGAGGATATAACAACTATAAATATCTATGCACCCAACATCGGAGCACCCAAGTATATAGAGCAAATAGATCTAAAGGGAAAGGTAGATTGCCACATAGTAGGCAATTAGTATTGCAGGGGATATCAACACTGCACTCAGTAGTGGACAGATCAACCAAACAGAGAGCCAACAAAGAAACCTCAGAGTTAAACTACACTCAAGACCTAATAGACCTATTTGAGATTCACAGAACACTTCACTCATCAACTGCAGAACACATTCTTTCAATCAGCACAGGGAACATTCCCCAGAATATAATGTATCATAGGTCATAAAATGAGTCTCAAAAAATTCAAATAAGAAAAAATCATATCAAGTATCTTTTCTTGCCACAGTGGAATAAAACTAGAAGTCAATAACAAGAGGAATCTCAGAAACTACACAAACACATAGAAATAGAACAGCATGCTTCTGAACAACCAATGGGTCAAGGAAGAAATTAAAAAGGAAATTTAAAAGTTTCTTGAAACAAATTAGAATGTAAATACAACACACCAAAATCTATGGAATATAGAAAAAACAATACTCAGAAAGAAGTTTACATTAATAAACATCTACATTAAAAAGTAAAAATATTTCAAATAATCAACTTTATGATGAACCTCAAGGAACTAGAAAAGAACAAATCAAACCCAAAATTAGTAGTAGGAAAGAAATAACATAAATCAGAACAGATATAAATGAAGTTGATATTTTAAAAAACACAAACAATGAAATGAAAGTTAGTTTTTTAAAAAGATAAGCAAAATTGATAAACCTTTAGCTAAACTAACTAAAAACACATAGGGAAGACCCAAACAAACACATTCAGAAATTAAAAAAGATACCTAACAACTGAAACCACAAGGATAATTAGCAACTATAATGAACAACTATCCACCCACAAATTGGAAAACACGGAAGAAATTGATAACTTTTTGGATATATATAATCTAACAAGATTGAACCATGAAGAAATAGAAATCCTTAGCAAACCTATAATGGATAATAAGATCAAAACTATAACAAAAAGTCTCCTATTAAAAAAAGCCCAGGATGTAATAATTTCACTGCTGAATTCTACCAAACATTGAAGAACGAATACCAAATTCTCCTAAAACGCTTCAAAAAAACTGGAGAGGGGAGAGTACTTCAAACTCATTCTATGAGTCGAGTATTACCCTGATACCAAAACGAGACAAGGATACAACAAAAAAAGGAAAGAAAACTATAGGCCAATATCACTAATGAACACAGATGAAAAAAAAAAAAGCTCAACAAAATACCAGCAAAATGAATTCAACAACACATTAAAAAGAACACTCATCATGATCAAGTGAGATTCATCCCAGGGGTGAAAGGATGGCTCAACATACACAAGTCAACAAATGTAATACATCACATTCACAGAAAGAACCAAGAACAAAAACTATATGATTATTTCAATAGATGCCAAAAAAAATTCAATAAAATTCAACCTATTATGATAAAAAGCCTCAACAAACTGGGTATAGAAGAAACATACCCCAAAATAATAAAGACCATATATAACAAACACACAGTCAACATCATACTGAATGGGGAAAAAGTGAAAGCCTTTTGTCTGAGAT